GTCAAGTCAGACACTCCCTGTCTGCCCACTGCCTACTGCAAGAGCATGCTGACCTTGGGGGGAGGGGGGAAGATACTTAAACTCAGAGCAAAAGGGTCAGGGATCATTTTTAAGGCAAAAAAAAAGGAATAAGGTGATGGGGCTGGAGCGAGCGATAGCACAGCGGGTAGGGTGTTTGCCTTGCACATGGCCAACCCGGGTTTGATTCCCAGCATCCCATATGGTCCCCTGAGCACCACCAGAAGTAATTCCTGAGTGCATGAGACAGGAGTAACCCCTGTGCAACACCGGGTGTGACCCAAAAAGCAAAAAATATAAATAAATAAAATAATAAGATGGGGCTATATTTAAAAGTCCTTCACTGCTGGTGGGAATGCCGACTGGTTCAGCCCTTTTGGAAAACAGTATGGATGATTCTCAAAAAATTAGAAATTGAGCTCCCAGTGGTCAGCAAGACCACTCCTGGGAATATACCCCGGAGAGGCAAAAAAGTACAGTCAAAGCGACATCTGCACTTGTTTGTTCATTGCAGCACTGTTTACAATAACTAGAATATGGAAAAAACCTGAGTGCCTGAGAACAGATGACTGGTTAAAGAAACTTTGGTGCATTTACACAATGGAGTACTATGTAGCTGTTAGAAAGGATGAAGTCATGAAATTTATATGCAAGTGGTACAACCTGGAAAGTATCATGCTAAGCAAAATGAGTCAGAAAGAGAGGGACAGACATAGAAAGATTGCATTCATCTAGGGAACATAAAGTAACAAAATAGAAGACTAACATCCAAGAACAGTCGAGATAAATACCAGGAGGTTTACTCCATGGCTTTGAGGCCAGCCGCAGACTCTAGGGGTAAAGGCAGCTCAGATAGAGAATGGAGCATCAAATAAAGGGTGTTGGGAAGATCCACCCAGGATAGGAGATGCATGATGAATGTAGACTAGAGACCAAACATGATTGCCACTCAATGCCTCTTTTGCAAACCACAGGTTAAGGCACTTGCTAGGCACACATCAGACCCCAGTTCAGTCTCTGGTACATATATGGTATATATGGCCTCCCTGGCACATGTCAGTCCCTGACACCATATATGGTCTCCCACACACTGCCAGGACTCACCCCTGAATATTGCTGGGTATGACCCAACAACCCCCCCCCCCAATGATTATTAATGATTCCAACCCTGATACCTCAATAAAACTTCATTTGAAAGTCTTCTTAACTTTCAAAAAATACCAGTACAGTACCATATTGAGAAGGATTATTATATTTAGATACTCCTGCAAAGAGTGGTGAAGAGGGATGCTGTCTTCAGAAATGTGTTTTAAATGATGAAGTCTTTAAATGCTGAAGGAAATAATTGAGAGATGTCATCACCAAATTTATTATCAGAAATTAGGGTTAGAGAGACAGCTCAGATGGTTGAGTCCATGTTTGTCGTGGAGGAGACCTGGGTTCAATGACTGGCGACTGCCAGACAAGGCCCAATTAAACTCAATGTAAATTAATATCCGGGAATATTACACACATATTTTAAAAATATTTTTTAAATAAGTTAAAATTCTAACCAAAAAATCTAGAGTAGAACTTCAGGCAAGTCCTTTTTTAACTGCAAATATAAAAACACTAATAATTAAATATCTAATGCTGAATACTTAGGCTGATCACAGTGTTGGGGTATCAGCAAGTCAAGGTTCATGTTTATAGGTACACAAAGTTCCAATGTTGGAGGAGAAAAAATATGAAACAAATCTTGTCATGAGGAAGTCTGATTCGAGCTGACAGAATAATCATACTAACTCCTACCCTCAAACTGCTGAAAGAGAAAAGAGAAGCAATTGTGTTGTTTTCAACTGAGATCTCAGATCCATTGAAATAACATTATTCCTTGGCGCCTTGTGGATCTCCAACCTTGGCTTGCGTGTTCTCCATCCAATGCTGACGCACAAACTGGAATTCCACCCTATTCAATCTCTGAGCAAAAACGGAGTGCCACAGCTTCATGTTTAAACATAGGTAGCCCTCGAAACAGAATTTGCCATCAAGGCTTTCAACCCAATGCTGCTTCTGACTCCTGCCTTTCAAAGATTATCAAGGGTCGGAAACATATGTGGGGCTGCCCAAGAAAAGAATTCCTTTCCAAAGCAGTGTCCAGAAACAAAGGAAATGGTAGCCACCCCGTGACGACAAGGCTGAGTTCACACTTCCTACAAAGCAGCACAAATCAACAAACCAGGAAGAATGAATGAGAGCCCCAATCAAATGAGGGTGCCTCTGCTCACAACTAACACCCCCTGGCCCCACACTCCTAAGTCCCTACCCACTTCTGCGTCCCACCCCACCCCTAGTACTATATGACTTAAGTATTTAGCATATTTATTGTTTATGGTGTCATTTCCTTGTTCTTCCTAGGAACAAAGATCTCTGCAAGAGTGGGGGGTGAGGGAGCAGAGGGGAAGGTTGTTTCTCTAACTGATAAACCCTGGTGACTAAAATAGTCGCCAAGACATAGATGTCCCTCACTACCAATAGGGTGAATGAATGGACAGAAAAATACTATTTTCACTATCTTTGGAAGCTTCATTCTTTTTTTTTTTGCTTTTTTTTTTTTTGCTTTTTTTTTTTTTTTTTTGCTTTTTTGGGTCACACCTAGTGTTTCACAGGGGATACTCCTGGCTCTGCACTCAGGAATTACTCCTGACGGTGCTCAGGGGACCATATGGGATGCTGGGAACCGAACCCGGGTCAGCAGTAAGCAAGGATAACCCTACCCACTGTGTTATCACTCCAGCCCCTCGGACCTTCACTCTTGATTCCTTTTTCTTTTTCACAGTGCAGAGGCCACGCCTAGTGATGCGTGGGGGCCGTGCAGTACGGGGATGGAACAGAGGACCTTGCGCATACCTCTCATGCAAATGTGCTAAGTTTCTCATGAAAAAAAAAAGTGATATGTAGGGCTACTTGCTGATCCTTTATTTGGTTGACGGATTGATTGACTGATTTTAAGACCATATCTGGTGGTGCTCAGAGGTCCCTCCTGGCTGTGCCAGGAACGAAACCAGGGTCAGTCGCCCGTCAATCACTCTCTCCGGCCCCTCTGGTCCTTTATTCATAGGCCCAGAAGTAGATGGCCCTTTGGTATTTTTCCTTTATCCTGTAAATATTTGAATCAGTCACAGTGATCAACGGAGGGTTGTTGAGTCTTCCAGCATGTGGGCATCTCAGCATGGTAGTAGGGGATGGCCTGACATCTAAATCACAATAGTTACCATTTCTCTTTGTGTTGGAAGGTTCTGGATAGGTTAATATTTATCATCCGGGCAGTTAATATTTATTATCTTGTCAGTGCCATGATCAAGCAAATGTGGGCTTCCTCTCCTGACTTGTGAAGAAAATGAAAGAGTTTAGTTCCTGTGGTGAGTACTTAAATAAAGGAGAGAAAGGAGAACTGAATCACTTACAGGAATCATTTACAATGTTTCATTTATGTAGAATCATTCACAGAGAGGCATGTTTGCTAAGCACACTTTATTTAACAGATAACAAGTTAAGGTGAAATAAATTCAACCCTATTTCTTCATTGTCCATCAATACACTTTCAAGATAGTTTGTACGGGTTTTCTTTAAGAAAACCTGCAGGCCTAGAGCAATAGCACAGAGAGTATGGCATTTCCCTTGCACGTGGCCAACCAGGGTTCGATCCTCAGCATCCCATATGGTCCCCTGAGCACCACCAGAAGTAATTCCTGACTGCAGAGCCAGGAGTAACCCCTGTGCATCTCTGGGTTTGGCCCAAAAAGCAAAAAAGAAAAAAAGAAAACCTTGCAGTCATGACCCACGGGTAATTGGGTTGCAGATTCTCCTATAAAGCCTCACTGCAGAGCTCTCTGCCTCCAGAAACCCTCTCCTGCAGGATGCTATCTTGTTGTCCCTGCTATCACCCAACTTCAGGAGAGTTGCTTCAAAGCATCCCTCCTTCTGCTTGTGAAGTAACCCATCCATCACTAGAGTCCCAACATCCAGCAGACTGCCGGGCTTACAGAAGAAGCTCAAAATAAGTCTGAACAAATGAAAATGTGAAAAAGCCCACTTGGGTTTGCCCATCGAGCAGACATCAGTTTGTTTTCTACCTTCACACCAGAACCAAATGAATTTCCTGACTACATGAGGTGGAGCGATAGCACAGCGGTAGGGCGTTTGCCTTGCACGCAGCCAACATGGCCGACCCAAGTTCGATTCCTCCGCCCCTCTCGGAGAGCCCGGCAAGCTACCGAGAGTATCTCGCCCACACAGCAGAGCCTGGCAAGCTCCCCATGACGTATTCGATATGCCAGACACAGTAACAACAAAGTCTCCAATGGAGACGTTACTGGGACCGCTCGAGCAAATCGACGAACAACGGGAGGGCCTTTACCTTTACCTTTGCATGTCATAAAGGTCACAGACCCACAGACCTACAAGGTTCTCTTTATTACAAATAATAAGAAGCTCACTGTGAATATTGAAAGAGACATAAAAGGGTAAAACACCTGCATTTTATGCAGTTTGCAGAAAATAAACAAGAACATGAGAGAAGATTCAGCAAAGTCCTACCTGATTCTTCAATCAAAATACTTGGTAAACTTCTTATAGATGTTTGTAGTTAACTAAAACATATTTAAAATGTCTCTATTGTGTGCCTTAGCCAGAACTTGAATGCGCTGACGTTGGTACATACCACCAGTGGCTCACACTTAGATGCAGATTACTTAACACCAATACGCTAAGGACAGAAAGAATCTGAGCAGTTTGTAAATAATTGAATTTCACATGGACTGAAATCTGCTTTGAAACTGGTAAATGGTAAAATTTTCCACTCAAGCAGGAGTATCTACAGATCCAAATGTGGAACCACTTTCCAAAACAGATCCATGCAGTAAAGTATGGAAAAAGACCCTGTATTTGGACCACTCTTCCCTTGCCATTGGCTCATAATGCAACCACCAAGGAAAACTTACAGCTGTACAGAACATGCACCGGCAATCCTGGAGTGTGGTCATCTTGTCCAGAGACTGTTCACACAGGCAGAGTTTGCACGTGACAAGGGGGGCCAGGGCCAGGTCTCCGGCAGTCGAGTTTGGGGCAGTCATGGTAAGACAGGCAAGTCTAGCAACTGAGTCCATCAGCCTGCCTTCCGGCCTCCTTCAGAATTCTCAATCCCTGCAGAAAAATTCAAGAAGAAAATAATAAATCCAGTCAGCTGTGGTTCAGTAGAACCATCTGGACTCCAGCATAACATATGCACTCTCGGTGATCTCTAAGCACCCAACCAATGACGTTCTGAAATCAAGGTGTTCCTGGAGTTTAAGATGATCTCACTCTCCTAATTCGTATCATGTAGACGATGGAATAAAAGACCACTCTCGAGCTGGAGCGATAGCACAGCGGGTAGGGTGTTTGCCTTGCACGAGGCCGACCAGGGTTTGATTCCCAGCATCCCATATGGTCCCCTGAGCACCGCCAGGGGTAGTTCCTGAGTGCAGAGCCAGGAGCAACCTCTGAGCATTGCTGGGTGTGACCCAAAAAGAAAAAAAAATAGACCACTCTCAACAACCATAGTCATTCAGGAGATGTATCACTACTATCAACTCAAGAGATAGGAAAAATAGCTAAAAGTAGTCCATCACTCAAAAAAGTCCAGCAAAGAATTATCATATGGGTCACTGATTGTGTGTCTAAGGGGAAACCCCAAATTATTGAAAGTTGAGACTCAACAGATACAGGAACACCTGTGTTGATTGCAGTAAGAGCCATAGTAACTAAAAGGCTGCAGCCATCCTCATATCCATTGTGGATTAATAAACAAATATGATATCAACACACAAACAGAGCATTATTCAGACTGAAAGAGAAAGGAAGTTTGACACCTGCTGAAACACGAATGCACCATTCATATACTGTACTAAGTGAGATATATCAAGCACGAGAGTATAAGACTTATAGGACTGCATGTAGATGAGATCAAATTCATAATTAGAAAGCAGAAAGAGGGTTATCAAGGGGCCAGGGGAGGGGAAGCACAATGACTGTTTAATGAGTAAAGAGTTGGGGGGGGATAAAGTTCTGGGATACATAGTACGATGGTTGTCCAACACTGTGAATGTACTTAACACCAATGAATAAGACACCTTAAATGGTTGAAATGATACATCTAAGATATATTTTCCACCAATAAAAATATTTAGTAGGATGCTACTATTGTGTTTCTTCACATATATTATTCCATTTTATCTTCTGCAATTTCGGAGAGCCCGGCAAGCTACCGAGAGTATTCGATATGCCAAACACAGTAACAACAAAGTCTCCAATGGAGACGTTACTGGGCCCGCTCGAGCAAATCGACGATCAACGGGAGGGCCTTTACCTTACCTTACCTTCTGCAATTATGCTAATTTCTCGCCTCATTTTATAGATGAATTGAAATCCCAAAAAGTTATGTCATCTGCCTAAGTTCTCAGGGCTTATATAGAGCAGAGCAAATCATAAAACTCGCGTTTTCAGAGGCCAAGCCCAACGCCTGGCCCATTACACCAGACCTGTCTTTCAGGAGGTTTATTATAGGGCAGACCAGAGCAAGAAGGAAGAGGAGAAAAGAGGATGGAGATGCAGAGGAAAAAAGGAATGAAAGAGAAAAGGTTAAAATACCATTAGAATAGCTATCCTTCCAGTTACTAAAGTTGTGTAAGAATAAATCTAATCAGTGCTAGAGAGATAATATAGCGGGTAAGGTATATATAGCCTTGCATGTGACCAACATGGGTTCAATCCCCAGCACATAATATGGTCTCCAGAGCCCTGCCAGTAGTGATCCCTGTGCCAGGAAGAAGCCCCTGAACACCACCCGGTGAGGTGTGGCACAAAAAACAAACAAAAAAGAATAAACCTAATCACCACACACAGCACACACAGAAAGGCTTTCTCTTTTTTCTTTTTTGGGGGGCGGCTTTTTTTTGGCTGGTGGGTCTATTTTGTGGGGGAGTCACACATGCCAGTGCTCAGGGGTTACTCCTGGCTCTGCAGTCAGGAATCACTCCTGGTGGTGCTTGAGCGACCTTATGGGATGCTGAGGATCGAACCCAGGTGAGCCACGTGCGAGGCAAACACCCTACCTGGTGTGCTATCGCTCCAGCCCAAGAAAGGCTTTTTTACTTGATTGTTTTTATTCAGGCTATTTCTATTTTAAAGAGGCAAACGGATGTGAAAAAATCGTCTAGTATATTCATAACTGGTAACATGTCAAGAAGCCTTATATTCTGATTGATTACCATGATGATCTGGGCACTGCGATTTCAGTTAATTAAATCACATTCAAGAGTAAGCCACAAGTGATACCTGCCAGCATCAATGTGTTAAAAATCAAAAGCCAAACTTTCTAAAATTTTAAAAGACTGTGGTCAATTAGGGGCTGGAGTGATAGCACAGCAGGCCAACCTTGCACGTGGCCTACCCAGGTTTGATTCCCAGCATCCGATACGGTCCCCTGAGCACCACCAGGAGTAATTCCTGAGTGCATGAGCCAGGAGTAACCCCTGTGCAACTCCGGGTGTGACCCAAAAAGAAAAAAAAAGACTGTGGCCAATTATAATAAATTCTGCCTTAGAAAATAACTGCAAATGCCCTCCCCCCTGACATTAACCAAACTCTTTTCCCCGTAACTTTTGGATGAAAGAAATTACTTTTTGTGTTTGGCATGTGCTGTACACCCCCAAAGTGTCTTCAATAGCAAAATGTTCAGCAGTAATAAAATAAGGGAGAGGAAAACAAGTTGAATTTTATTCATGGAAAAACATCTATGAGAGCTAGCAGCTACATTAACTTCTTAATGTCCTAGCAGAAAGAGACAAGACTAACTCCAGTCACCTGGAGTGTTGAGTTAAGATTTGCTACCTAATCCCTGAGTTTCAATTGAAAACTTGATTAGCAGATTAATTTGATTATTGAGTTGTGTATTGTAATTATAATAATTACTATTATTATTAATTAGAGTACTGCCAAGAGTGATCTCCTGAGAACTCCCCAAAAACTGAATTAAACTGGATTCTAATGAATGGCTTTCACTCTGATATTTATTGAGAAAGACTTAATAAGCTTCACGACAGTGTTCTTATTCTAATAAACATGAATAAGCTATCATCTAAAGGAATACAAATTTATAACAACCTGCCTACAAAATTCAGGATTTTGATGTTTTTAAAAAGTGTAACTCTGGAGTTTAAAAAAAAAAGTAGATAACAGGAATTATTTTAGCACTCATCCCAGTTTATGCTAGAACAATACCATTCATTGTTTCTCTAAGAACTACCAATTTATAACACAGTCTCAGTCTCCCCATTTTGCTGTCTCCCTATCTCTGTAGTTTCAACATAGCTTGTATATCTTGTTCTGAACTATCTTTCCCTTTAAAAAGGTAAATCCAGGGGCTGGAGCAATAGCACAGTGGGTAGGGCGTTTGCCTTGCACGCAGCCAACCCAGGTTCGATTCCCAGCATCCCATATGGTCCTCCAAGCACCGCCAGGAGTGATTCCTGAGTGTAAAGCCAGGAGTAACCCCTGAGCTTCGCCGGGTGTGACCCGAAGGGCAAAAATAAATAAATAAATAAATAAATAAATAAAAAGGTAAATCCCAAACTAAACAAGAAATGTATCCAGTAAATGTTTCCTGCGTAGGGCTAATGTGAAATGAACCATCCCACCCTACAAATGTCATTTATACTTGAGTGTCCATTTGGAGGAAGCTGCTAAGAATAGATAAATCCTTTTGTTCCAAACTAGCAAGAGACATAGGTATTTCAAGAATGTCCATTATTTCTCAGTCTTAACCTATATTATTTATTAAACAGGCCAAATTTTAATGAATCTGAACAATAAGTTAGAGATCTCTTAAAAGGCATCTCTTGGATACAACCTTCTTTGAAAAGCATATCTAGCAACTGTTAAAAGTTTATGGAACATCATCTTTGTTCTTACCATATATATGCTTTTATTCTTCCATTTGCCAGTACTTGCCTAAATACTGTGAAACTTATAAAAAAAAATTAGAATGTCCATTAACTTCAAAAGTTTCCTCCTGCCTTCTATCAATACTTTGTGGGTCTGTGATAAGAGCTCATAAGATGACCCTTCACAGGGCTGGAGAGACACAGCAGGTATGGCATTTGCCTTGCACACAGCCAACCCAGGTTCGATCCCCAGCATCCCATATGGTCCCCCAAGCACTTCCAGGAGTAATTCCTGAGAACAAAGCCAGGAGTAACCCCTGAGCATCTCTGGGTGTGACCCCCAAAAAAGAAAAAAAACACCCTCTCAGCAAATGTTTAACTATAATGCACAATCCTATCAGCATGACGCTGTCCTGCAAGACATGTACAGTTTCTAAAGCAAAATACAGCTGAACAAATTTTAAAGCTCTTCCTGACTTCATTCAGCTATTCAGGAATCAGGCAACATTCCATGCAGTAGTTCTAGGCAGACACACAGAATATAAGACTATTATAGATATAAGGGAGCAGATCCAAGGAAGTTATTCCAGTCAAAAGTAAGTCAGTTATTAGCAAGGTCACTTTCTCTAGGAGACCATAGGGGTCTATCCAGCAAATCACCTCACTGATGCTGACCAAGTGCTTCCTGTTCGATGGTTTGAGATTCCATTTCTGGGAGAGATTAAAGCTGTAATTAAGTCTCCATTTGGCACTGTGGGGTTTAGCATAAGCGACTCCATTGGGAATCTATTGTCTTGCTTCTAACAATACTTTCCTCTGAGCACTTCTTGTTCCATACGTTGACTGGGGCCAGCTTTCTGGCTGCCAATCATACTTCAGCAGAGTAGCTTAAGATGTATATAACTTAAGCATGATTTCAGTATACCAAATTCTATGAGGTTAAAAACTGCTTACAAAGCAGCAAACTATTTTGTTTTATAAAAGAAAAAAAAATCCCACATATTCCAATTAAGGCAACCCTTGCAAATCAGAGTCAGGAAAGTAGTCGAATATTTCATCTCTTTGAGATGTGAGCAATCTAAAAAAGTTATTTGTTTTCCTGTATATAATAGCACCGATTCCCTAATGCGGTCACCTTCAAACGTTGTTGTTGTTGTTGTTGTTGTTGTTGTTGTTGTTTTCAA